GATTTCTTTGCAACTTTTTTGAAAAAAGTTTTTGACTTTTTCTATCCAAATTTCCCCTGAAAACACAGAATAGTGCAGATGTCATGTACAACAAGACTTTAGTTTAGCAGCAAATCATTTCATTTGTGTTTTGTATTATTCTAAAAGCACTTGTCATTTTCACATTGGACTCTGAGGGCCGCTGTTGGTCTACAAAACGTTTTGAGACGCAGCTTCACCTCCTTCCTCCTCGTAGTGTGTCACGGAGAGCTTGTCAGGCGGCCGTGTGTGTTCGGATGATTCTTGTGAGACGGATGTTTGTGGATTATTGACGCAGCCACGACGGATGTTTGTGGATTATTGACGCAGGACTTTTTTTAAGTATTTACCATCCTTTGGTGTTATGGTCGTTTTGATTCGGAAATATATTTCTCGACTGCAAAGGGTCTAAGATGAAAACGCAAGTACGGGCCTTCATCCTTGTTTTTCTCTTTGAGGCGACGTTTTGCCAGATTCGCTATTCTGTGCCGGAGGAGCTGAGAAAAGGCTCCTTTGTGGGAAATGTGGCTGAAGACCTGGGCATCGATGCTAAAAGACTTAAATCAGGTGGAGCCAGAATTGTTAATGGCGACAACAGCGAGTATATTAAGCTTGACGTAGACAAAGGATTTCTGGTGGTGGGAGAAAGAATAGATAGAGAGCAGCTCTGTGGGCAGACATCGCCCTGCAGCTTGAATTTTGAAATGATAATGACGAATCCAATGCAACTGCATAGCGTTGTAGTAGAAGTGTTGGATATTAATGATAACACACCCGTTTTTCATGAGAAAGAAATACATTTGGAAATACTGGAATCTACTCTCCCCGGGACCGAAATTTTACAAGTAAGTGCCATCGACATGGATGTTGGCATCAACGCTTTGCGCGGATATACGTTACATCCAACGAGCCATTTTAATGTAAAAGAGATGTCCAGTCCAAATGGTCATAAATATGCACAGTTGTACCTTTCCGGTGCATTAGATCGCGAGAAGGAAGATAAACTGCTTGTAACACTGACTGCTTTAGACGGTGGAGAACCACAGCGATCAGGGATGCTAAAAATACACGTTACTGTTCTGGACGCAAATGATAACGCTCCCGTTTTTACACAGTCAATTTTTAAAGCTTCTGTTAAAGAGAATGCCCCCAAAGAGACAGTAGTGCTAAAATTAAGTGCAACAGATGCAGATGACGGAATGAACGGTCGTGTTACATACCACTTTAATCGAATGTCTAGTAAATCTGCGGGTATATTTATTCTGGATGAAAACAGTGGTGTTATAACTGTAAATGGCGTCATTGATTATGAAGAAAATAAAGTATTTGAGATCGGGGTACTGGCGAAAGATCAAGGTGGTCACAGCACCCCCACCAGTGTAATAATTGAGGTAATTGATGTAAATGATAATAGGCCTGTAATAACGCTAACATCGTTTTCAAATACCATTCCAGAAGATTCTCCCAGTGGAACTACTGTGGCCATCATTAACGTGAAAGACTTAGATTCGGGCAAAAACGGTAAAGTTGATTGCAGAGTGAACGGGAACATGCCGTTTACAATCCAGTCGTCTTTAAAGAATTATTATACTCTGGTAACAAACGGTGTCCTGGACAGAGAAAGAAATCCAGAATATAATATCACATTTTCAGCCGTTGACGAGGGAAGCCCACCACTGTCGAGTAACAAGACAATAACCCTCAGAATCTCTGACGTCAATGATAACGCACCAATCTTTGAACAGAATTTTTATCAAGCTACTATCATGGAAAACAACTCCCCGGGTTTATCTGTGTTTTCCGTGAGAGCACACGATCTTGATTCAGGACATAACGCACGTGTGTCTTATCTCCTAATAGAAACCGAGTTAAACGGTAACCCCATATCGACATACGTATCTGTTAACGCGGAAACCGGAGTCATTCAAGCTGTTCGGACATTTGATTATGAGCAAATTAAAAGTATAGACATATTAATCAAAGGGCAGGACGGAGGAACCCCGCAGTTAACTAGTAACACCACGGTTAAATTAAATATCCTGGACCAGAACGATAACCCTCCTCAGGTTCTGTACCCAGTCCAGACTGGTGGCTCTGTGGTGGGTGAAATGGTGCCTCGTTCAGCAGATGTGGGCTATCTGGTCTCTAAAGTGGTGGCTGTTGATGTGGACTCTGGACAGAATGCCTGGCTCTCCTATAAACTCCAGAAAGTCCCAGACAGGGCTCTGTTTGAAGTTGGCTTACAGAATGGAGAAATCAGAACTATCCGCCAAGTGACTGATAAAGATCCTGTCAATCAAAAACTGACTGTTATAGTGGAGGACAACGGACAGCCCTCTCGTTCAGCTACAGTCATTGTTAACGTGGCGGTGGCTGACAGTTTCTCTGAAGTACTGTCTGAGTTCACTGACTTTAAACACGACAAGGAGTACAATGACAACCTGACTTTTTACTTAGTGTTGGCTCTGGCTGTAGTTTCCTTCCTCTTCATCACCTGTTTAGTTGTTAT